TTATTATTATTATCATTATTATTATTATTATTGTTATTATTATTATTATTATTATTATTATTATTATTATTGTTATTGTTGTTGTTATTATCGTCATCATCATCATCGTCATCAACGTTATCATATTTATGAAATTAATAAAAATTATTATTAACTGATCAAACATATGAAATGGTAATTTGACGGATATTTTCTTGTCTCATTCGTTGTGCTATGTAATTATCGATCCTTGTAAAAGTTTATTTTATTTTAAGAATAATACCTATAACCAAATATTACTTAATTATGATAATTAGTTGAAATGAATTACAGTAATGGTAGTTATTACCCTAAATTAATTTTCATTATGTTGTTATGAAAAATTAATTCCTAAGCTTCCATTTTCATTTTTTTTTTAATAAATTAATTCTTAAGCTTTCATTTATATAATTTTTTATGAACCATTTCTTGTATTTAATTATTAAAGAAATCCAATTTATACCTCAAAAAATTTTTAATATTTATTCTGAAATTAAACCACACAATCTTATATGAATTTGCAAGTATTCAAACTTCATCTTATCATTCCTAATTTTTGTTAATTTTTTTTTTTGCTTAAAATTTTCGAAATTACAATTAACATAACAATTTTAAATGTTTCCTCTCTCTCTCTCTCAAATCAAATTTTAACTAAATTGATTTGACAATTGCTAATATTAAAAAAAAGACGAGACGAAAATTGTTGCATGTTTTTATGAGACAATAAAATTGTTATTGCAAAGAAAATTTTCAAGACATTAAAATAAATCTATCAAATATTTCTTCCCAAAATAAAAGATAAATGTAAAGAAGTTATAAAATTGTTTTACTATCTTTTCTTTCTTTTTTAAAAAAAAAATAAAAGAAAAAAATATTTGTCCGATAGATAATTGCGATAATTATTTGTTGAAAATTTTAAGTAATTTAAAAAAATACATTTCTTCAATATTTGTATATTACCTCTTTTCATTCATTCTAAATTTATTTGCTTGTTATATGCAATCATTAAAATGTTTATGATTTCAAAATTTAACATATATATATATATATATATGTTTCTGATAAATGATTTTTTGATTTTTTTTTTTTGATAAATGATTTTTTGATAAAAATCATTTACCAAAAATGTGATAAATGATTATATATTTTTGATTATATATATTTATTATATTTGATAAATGACTGTTATTATGTACTTGAGTTTTGAAAGGATTATGAAAAATTAAGTTTTTAAGTGATCAATGATAATAAATGATTGCATATATATTTGATAAATGACTGTCATTATATATTTGAGTTTTGAAATGATTATGAAAAATTAAGTTTTTAAATGATCAATGATAATAAATGATTATATATATTAATGATCAATGATAATAAATGATTATATATATCAATGATAATAAATGATTATATATATATATATGATAATTGACTATCACTATATATATATATTTAATTTTTTAACAGGCCAAGGATGAATATTTGAAGCAAACAAAAATTCAAAAATTCAATAAAAATTCAATTCAAAATTCAATAAAAATATATCGAATGATAATTATAGATTTTTCGATTTAGATTAAATGATTGTTTCAAATTTTGTTTTTTATAACAACAAGAAAAACAAAAAAAAGAAAAAACTAAATTTTTTCCGCCGCATTCAAAACATTAGAAAAATCAAAAAAAACGACTCAAACATTTGAATATAATCAATTTTAAATTCTCTGTAATTTAAATTTATACAAAATTCTTATCGTCATTCAGATATTGTCTAATTTTAAAATTGTTAACTTTTTAATAATTCAAAGAAAAAAATATTCATAATTTCTTTTTTTTGTTAAAAATGCGCCAAAATGTTATCTTTCTTTTTTCTTTC